TATATAATAATATACTACACAAATGGATTTTTTCATACTTTTCGGTTATCCGACTTTCCAATTATCCGACCAACCCCAGTCCCCAATTGAGTCGGATAATCGAGGCTCTATTGTATTTTCAATTTGATCAATTTTCTGAAACGTTTACAATCGTTCTATAATCGAACCAATATGCAATAACAAATTCCAATTTAAAACGGTTCGAACATTTTTAAAATCGAAATACATAAAAATATTTATAACAATGTCTGAAATGTTATCAATTTAATACACCTAAGTACTCAATGAAGACGAAACGTAGTTGAAAACAAAAAAATCTCATCTAAAATAGTACAGTAGAAGCCATTCTTCCGGTTAATCCTTAATTCTTTCCCTCTCCCCTTGCAGGGGAATTTCAAAAAGTCCCTTTTTAGTGTGCGTTATCATGAGGTACCCTAACTGTGTACCAAATTTTTACCTCTTTATTTTCAGCTGCTTGTTCTGGGCGATGATGAGTCAGTCAGTCAGGACAAGTAATTTTATATATTTAGATTACATAATTTGTAATAGTATTTGTGCTCATTGGTAATAATTATAAGTGCCGGAAAGCAGTTCGTGTGTAAGGTGTGACGCAGTTGCGAGATCCGGATTGTATTTAACTATAAACTTTTGCACAATTATATAAACCAAACAAATAACGTTTTAAAATTTTTATTAAAACGCATAAAAACTATATAAATTTTTCTCAACAATTAATAAAAAGGTGGAAGGATGTGACTGCGTTATTTACCGCATTCACTTCTTTTCAAAAATGACACATCTTTCGAATGGTCACCCGGAACTTCAACCGAAATTCGTCTATTTGCCACGACCTATAACATTACCAAAAAAGGCCAATACAAAAAACGAGACGGACCCCCCAAATAAAAGGGAGGGATCAATGACGATGGTAATCCGTCATCTTAGAAAGCTCGCCCTCGCCAAAGTTGCACTAGCGCTCGGCTACCTTATCGATACTGAAGATTTTTAAGTGACTTTCCGCCCTCTGACGATCCTCCCATCACCTGAATAGTCCGAATATCAAGATATCAAGACCTTGCCAAATATACCGAGTCTTTCCAGAGCCATCCATCGAAACTTCTAAATCATCAATTTGACGTGTCGTCAATTAAAGTCCTCACCCCGATTGGGAACGAAGCGCATCCTCAGACCCTCTACAATGTATTTATTTGTGTGAATTTATAGAATTTATGTAAACTCGCGGACGGATACACAATATACCAGCCTTATAAAGGGATCGCCCAAATGTTTAACCTTCCAATTGTAAACAGCCTATGTTTAGCCTAATTGTAAATAGTTTATCTATATATATAAAAAATTGCTTGTCCTCACTGACTGAATGACTCACTGATTCATCATCGCCCAGAGCAAACCGCTGAACCTAAAGAGGTGAAATTTGGTACACAGTTAGGGTTGAAAACGCACACTAAGAAAAAAAGAAAGAAAAGAAAAAGAAAAAATCTTTTTTTCTTTCTTGAAGAAAGAAAAAAGGATTTTTCGAAATTTCCCAGTGGGGGGAGAGGGAGAGCATTAAGTCTTAACCGAAAGAATGGCTTCTAATGTACTATTTTACATGCGATTTTCTGTTACGTTTATTCTTCATTAAGTGCTTAAGTGTATTAAATTAATAACATTTCAGACATTGTTATAAATATTTTTATATATTTTGATTTTTTAACCAAATGCTCGTACCTTTTTAAATTAGAATTTGTTATTGCGTATTATTTCGATTATAGAACGATTGTAAACGTCTCAGAAAATTGATCAAATTGAAGAGTTCGTTTGATTCTCAGCAATTCTCATTATCCTCGGCGGTAGGTGTTATATAACAATTACTATGGTTGTTGAAATACTGAATATAAATGGGGTTTGCTTGCAAAACCACCGCGGGCGAAGTCGCGGGTAACAGCTAGTAGTTAATAAACGGATATTTATTATTGTTAAAATTGTTTGGTACACTTCCTTAAAACGCGCCGTCTCTGTCGTCCCAGATCCGACCGCCTAAATAAGCGACCACTACCGCGATTTTTGTCACTTGACAGAGTGGTGACATTCTGACGTGGTGCTAATCAGGCGGTCCAGAACTTGTGGTTACTTTTAACCATAATAAATCCATCGCAAAGTGGTTTTTAACTTTAGCAGCTAATTTTTGTCATCCTGTATTCGCGTTTTTCATGAACTATAGAGGCCGCCGCACTTTTACAAAGTGGTTACTTTATCTGGATCGCTTGTAACTATTGATAGTAATGTAAAATTAATCATATATTACTGTCCGATATAATGATATATGTTGCTTGTAGTTGTTTATCGAGAAATTTTATAGACGGAGAACAATTATCGCTAGCGGGATACGTCATTATGTGGTATCGAAACAAATAAGTGAGATCGTTCTATACATATTTCTGCCCTTTGTGTTAAAAAAAACATCAGCTTTGACATTGTCCCGTCAGGAACGGATTTACAAGTAAAAAGCCTCGACTTTCGAGGGACCTCAAACATTTGTACAAAAAAGAAAATTGAAGTCAAATTTTGTAATAAACATTTTTTACAAACCAACAAAATATACTTTACTGTTTATTTTGTGTAGTATTTCGTTAATTTTTTTCTAAGAATTAACATAAGATCTTTTTAAAAAATTGATAAAACCAATTTTAAAAAAAAAAGATTTTTAATCGAATGGGTATAAAAATTTAATTAAATTTAGTTATAAAACAGAAGACTAGCGAAACCTCACGTCTTTTTCTTCCAATATCCGTATTAAATCAGAGTCATAGTCTGATTTAATTCTTTTCCTTTTATGACTGACTTCTAAAATTGTGAAGGATTGTTAAAAAGCCTTACAGAGTTCAACTTAGGGCTTCGAAATGCTTAAATCCGACCCTGTGTCTTACACAAAATTACTGGCATTTTAAACTTTAACAAAATACAGTCGACCTCCTATAAGGCGGTAGATACCTTCCACTTTATAAGAATTTCGCGTTGTAGAAATCCTTAAATACATGAGCCAATCACAGCCCTGCACGTGTGCAGTTTACGGAATACGGCTGTTTGAAAGGTTTTCTTCCATAAAATTAATCGATTCTAGACTAATTTGACTCAACATTTCCAAAACGTGTATAATTTTTTGGGAATAATCCGTATAAACTATGCTATAAACAAAAAAACTGTAGGATTACTTACCGAGTGTGCACCGTTCGACCACGACATTTCTTAAGCTTGTTTTCATCGCAGAGCAGCGCACCAACTTATCAGAAACGGCGGCCGCGGTTTCTGATGTTATTTTTCTGTGAAAAATTCATTGAACTTTGGAGACATCATTAATATAAATAATATTTATGGGCGTTGAATGTTTCTTTCACATGAAATGTATAAAATTACAGTACTGTATTATACTTACAGTACCTAATTTATATACTGTTCAATGATAGTAAACTCAACTTACCCGCCTAAACTGTCCATAGAGTGTAAGTAGTTCGGCTGCTCGTCCACTATTGGTTCAGATTCAACCAATCCTGTCGCGATGACGTTTTACCGTCGGCGATGTCGTTTTACCGAATTTTACCAGTCTCTTTTGGCGTCTTTATATGAATACGGTTGCAATTTTTTGCCGCGATATACGAATTCGCATTATATGAACCCGCATTATAGGGGGTCAGCATAACTTGTTCGTGTAAAGCTGGACATTCGGGAAACTGCGAATTCTTAACAGTCATAAATATAACCGACCAATTTCCGAATAATCATGTTTTCCCGTTTTTCGTGAGAATAGACGAAAACATATACCAGGCTCTCTTAAAGCTTTGAAATAGCAATTTGAAACCAACAGTAAGCGTTGCTTTTTCTATCGCTTTTCATCTTTACTGCTGATAATACACAAGAAACGACCCAGATAGAATAGTTTTGTTTTTAAACACGAAAGGACAGGTGAAAAATGCGAATAGTATACCAAGCCACGACTAGTACGTGTAGTTTGTTTGACCTTTAGTACTTTTCAGCAAAACAAAATAAAACCCCAAATGAGTATTTTTCTCCATACATTTTTTATTTGAAATTTTTTATGTATGAAAATTCAATTTCTAGAAAAACAAGTAGAACTAACGTTCTTCGACATTAAAAATTGTAAATGAAAATGTTTAGATGCTAGAACTCATAAAGTTACAAACCACTGTGCGTTGTATCCCCTCTATAGTATTATGTATTCTCTATTAATCAATGACATGCACATAAACTACTAAAATTACACCATGTTAATTCAACTTCGTAGAATTATTTTTTAATCAAAGAAACTATTTTCTTTCGGTACATAAAGGCAATTGCTATATATACAATATCAAAGTTACAAAATGAAAAAACTAAAACTTCTAAAATTTCTTCTTTTTGTATTCAAAAACAATCTAAATACGAATATTAATACGAATAAATACTTTTGTAAACATTGTCCTTCATAACGAACAGCGTTATTCATTGTCATTATGAAATTTGATAATATGACTATTTAAATTACATTTAAAACGGAACTTTTGTAAGCAATAAGTACACGAGAACGGCTTTTTCCCTGTATGAATTCGTAGATGTTCAATCAGATTTCCTTTCTTTGCAAAACTCCGTTTGCAATGATCACAGGTAAAGGGTTTCTCCCCTGAGTGAGTTCGCAGATGTTCAATCAGATTTCCTTTCTTTGCAAAACTCCGTTTGCAATGATCACAGGTAAAGGGTTTCTCCCCTGTGTGAGTTCGCAGATGTTCAATCAGAGTTACTTTCTGTGTAAAACTCCGTTTGCAATGATCACAGGTAAAGGGTTTTTCTCCGGTGTGAGTGTTGACGTGGGTACGAAGATTGCTGGATTGATTGAACCGACGATTACAGAATTTGCAAGACAAGAGTCCTTCTCCACTGTGAATCCTTCGATGACATACAAATCCTCGCTTCGAAATGAATATTTTCTTGCAACTGTCACATTGATACTTCCCATTCTTTCTCTTCTCAATGTTTGAACCTGTAAAATAGGATAAATAAAAATAGTAAAAGCAATGTTTAAAGACCAAAACTCTCTTCAATTTATTCTCAAGTAAATATCTAAACTTAAATCACACTGTTTTAAAAGTACTGTTAATGTTTAGGATGCAGATAGAAAATGAATTTTTGTTTTTGTGATAATTTCCTTTGAATAAAATTTAAAGGTTTAATCTATACAAAGGAAAACATTACACTAGAAATACTAACTGTTCACAAATATTACCCACACACTAAAACAATATTACAAATTAATAACAAATGTAATTTATACATTTTTCCTGAAAATTTATATACAGAGTATTTTGCAAAAACAAAAATATATATTTGAAAAAAATGTTTAAATATTTTCAATGATTTTTCTCTTCTTCACTCGCATGAACGATGTTTTCCTTGTTGATATATTCTTGTAATGATATCACAACACTGGCTTCAATTTTAGTGTTCCGTTAACGACAGAAGTCCAACACATCCATCGACTATTCTTATGTTTTTCTAGAAACTATTCTTCATTTAGTTAACAGGAATGTTTTTGATTGACGGGTAGTGAATCTGAAAGTAACAAAAAAGTCCCGAATGAAATCAGATACGAGAATATCGTTACACATTATTTTCTAAGATAATTAAATTTAAATATTTCAAACTTAAACTAGTAATTTTAGAAATTCTTCCTTGCACATTCATTTCAGACCATAAAATTACGGCTCGGTTTAAAACCTGAAAAATGAAACGAATTCAAAATTGATGTTTCTTATTTAGGAACAATATATTTATACGTATGAAATAAATTCAAATTAGTTTTATCTGTAAATTTTAAAAATAAGAAAATTAGGTATAAATGTATTTTATGAAGAATTAACTTCCCTTCGGTCTTTCTATTTTACAGCTTTCATTGCAGAAATAAAAGTTATACAAACTCAATCGTTTCTTGAAAAGTGTTTTTAAAATTACCTTAGGAAAAAAGTAAAAATATACTTACTAATTTAGTAAAGTTCAGACAAGAAAGACACAGAAAATATCAGAATACTTGTTACCACAGTCCACGAGAACGAGAATTCCATACATCATCAAATGTTACCTGAGAAGTCTCCTCTTCCGCTTCGTTAAAATCTTCCTTGTTTTTTTTTTCTTTCTGATGAAATCGTCAACGAGGTTTTCTCCTTTAATCAAGAATGTTAATTATGTTAAATTTAAAATATTCTACACCCAGATTATCGATTGTCGAAATATAATGGCGACAGTCAAAGGGTCGACAAAAGGACTAACCTGCCTGTGAGGACGAGAATTCCAAATGCTTGCATGCATTTTGTCGTACGGCTGAAATGACAACACAATCTTCACCCTCTCTGTCTTCTCGGACGCAAACAATCGTGGATTATCAACAGAGTAGAATAAAACTTCTGTCGACTTTTTTTCTGTAACCAAAACAGAAATACGTCACTAGTAACGAGCGAAGATTCGTGCATTAAACCTATTTATTTCCTCTTGTTTTTGGTAGTGACGTGGTAAGAACCAATCCCAAGACGATGGCTTAAATACGAACACCAATTAAACACTCAAATGAGACGTCTTCTTCGATTTGTCCGTAAAAGATTTAGCTCGTCGGAAAACAATTTTTGAATCTATTCAGTACTTATAATAAGAACAAACTTTGCCATTTCTCTAACCGAAATCCAGCAAGTGCATTGTTGATCTTTGTTCGTCCTAACTGCCAATTTAAAAAAGAAAGTGGCGCCATCTAATATTTAAAATTCAATAATGTCTAATTATTTTTTCACAATTTGTGGGTATAAAATTTCTGAAAATAATTGTGAGAATCCAGATTAAAGAGACGTCATTTTTAAAGAAATTAGGAAGAGAAAGAACGATTTATATTTGAATAGAAATTAAATTTTTGTAATTTTAACAAATTTTCGATTCAGTGGATGTTAAAAACTTACGACCTTGATAGGAAATTCATTTCCTTTCTCTGATGACTAGTAAGTTGACTTATATTTCGTTTGAACTATTCGAAAGGCGCGAAATTCAACTGCCATCTTGGTGTGCTCATTTCGTTTTTCGATTTCAGTGATTTTTAAGAAACTCTTTCCTGCGACTTTCGTCGACTTTACTACAGTACCTTATTCTTTAGCTTCTGGTCTTCTTTGATCTCTTCTCTGTCCAGGTAGGAGCTTTCCTCTTTCTTTCTGCCGGAGTGTCTTATCCTCCGGACTAGGTATTGGCGTCGCCCTCGCCCAAGCGCCTTGGAAAGCCACCATCGGGATGGGAAGCACCCATTACTTCTGACGAATTAAGATTTACTTTTCCTCTGTCGGAATTGGAGAAACTCTTCTCCATCCGTTCGTCTCTTTTTTCGGACCAAATCTATACGATTTTTCTAGAAGGACAGGGACCTCTCCGACGTCTTCGTCCGGCCGAGCTCCACGCGGCCCTCAAACTGCATTTTCCCCGACCGGAATTGCTGCTAGATGTCCGCTACTCCCGTAGTGGTCTTCTAATTATCAAAACTCGGGATCACCAAGCCGCAGAGGCGGCTCTTCATATTCCCGATATTGCCGGAATACCAGTCCGTGGCCGTCTGGCCCCGGACTGTGCCCAAACCGCTTATCTCCTTCGTGGGGTGGACCCGTCGATTACAGTCCAAGAAATTTACAAAATACTTTCGGATTCCCACCTTCCAATCCTAGAGATACGTCGTTTTACACGACGGGACGGGGATAACATCGAGCCTAGCTCCACGGTTTACTTCTCAGTGGCCAGTTCTTCCCTGCTGGAATCCGTTACTATCTATTACCAACGATACCACTGTGAGCGATATATTCCTCGCCCACGCCAATGCAGGCGATGCCTGAATTGTGGCCACTCGTCCACAACATGCCGCGGCCGCCGCAAATGTATTACTTGCGGGGCTGACCATGACCCGGTCACATGTACTGCCGCTGCGGCCAGCTGTGTGTGTTATGGAGGAAAACATTCTGCGGATTCTCCGCTGCCCAGCCTATCAGCAAGAGGCACGCCTGCTAAAATTCAGCGCCATCCAGCGCTGTTCTTATCTAGAAGCCAAGCGCTCGCAGAGCAACTCCCCAAAATCATATGCAAGAGTGGTCTCAACTTTCCACCAAAACCATCCGAGAGGACCCCTCGTTGTGAAAAACAGCCAGCTCTTTCTACTATTGGACAGACAGGTGACATTTTGATTCTAACCAAACGTATTTCCAAATTGGAATCCGTAGTGGAGAAGTCTTCTTCGCTCGATCATTCAACCTATCCCGCTTAACCCTACTCAGGATTCCCTCCGTGAGCCGAGTGTGGACAAGGATTTGACCGCGTCCACGTCAAATAAGCGCTCTTCCCACCCGGCGGGCCCTTTGACTCCTGCCCAACTCCCAAAGAAGAAGAAAGGACCTAAACCTCGTCCCACCGATCCATTGGCGGCATCCGACTCAGAAGGACAAAATTCACACATGGACCACACGTACTGCACGGGGACCACAAGTGTAACTCCCCTAGAAGACTCCTGCTTTGCCTCCCCAGCCGAGAAGGCTAAACTTCGCCGCCACCCGCCCAATACCCCCAAGCAAAATGTCTAATCCCTCAAGCATTTTGCAAAATCTCCGCTTGATACACTGGAACGCGAGAGGTCTTCGTTCTAAACGTGATCTCCTTTTGGCAGCATCTTGGCTACGTACCGTGGACATCATCCTGGTACAGGAGACGTGGCTAACTTCCGAAGTGGTCCTTTCCATTCCAGGATTCACTCTCTTCCGCCAGGATTGCACCTCTGCTCAGGGAGGGGTCTCCTAACAGCAGTCTCTCACCGATGGCCCGCCTGCCAGCTGCCCCCTGGTCCCAAGATCACCGGCATCGAATATCAAGAGACCTTGGTATACTTTTCACGGGCTCCTCTCTCCCTTGTTAATGTATACTCCACACACTACGTCCTTCCAGCTGTTTCACTGGACCCCCTTTTGTGGGCAATCACCACCCTCGCATAGTGTGCGGGGGGTTTCCATAGAAGATTCCATAGAAGGTCTCGCATAGTGTGCGGAGGGTGCGGCTCATCATCCTTATTGGGACAACCAGTGCAAACGCCCAGACATCGCGGGCCGCACCCTCTTCGATTGGTTCTCATCCGCGAACTTATGCTGTTGGAACTCTGGGGAACCAACTTATTTCTACTCAAACGGATCATCAGCTATAGACCTGACCTTCTGCTCCCCGGACCTATTAGGTTTTTCGCCTTATGGAGCCCTTGCGTGGACACCCTAACCAGTGACCACGCTCCTATTTCGATCACTCTATCTATCTCGGGCACCCCTAACCCGAAGACTACCCCTCGTTTACACTTTTCAACAAACTGGAGTCGTTATTCAAATAACCTCGATCAGCGTTGGACTACCGAGGAATTGATTCCGATTTTGTATAACGCCTTTGTAGACACTATCCGTGAGACGGTCTTCTCTAATACTATAATTCGCTCCATTCCCTCCTCGGGTCAACCACCGTGATAGACCCCCGAATGCAGTCGCCTTAGAGCGCTTAAACGTCGCGCGTTCCGTCTAGCCTGCAGGCGGGCGTCTCTCTCCTGGTGGGATAAATATAAACAATTAGGAGTGAAACTCCGTCGGAAGACCCGCCAGGCTCGTCGGGAGTGGTAAGGTCGTTTGTGTGCCTTTCCCCCTCTCCATCCACACTCTATCGTATCTTCCGTCGTCTGAGATCCCCGCCAGCGACCACGGACACCCAACACATAGTCCAAACGATGGACTACCTACTCAGTCCCATCCAGCAGGCGGAAGCCTTTGCATCCTTTTTCGGGCGTACTCGCCCAAGGGGCACTTTTGCTCCCCTTGATGATCCCCGGCTAGGGGCCCCAAAGTTTGACGATTCCCCCTTTCATCTCCTTGAACTCTGCCAGGCCATACACCGTCTTCGGAACACTACACCTGGCCCAGATGGCGTAAGATCAAAGGCCTTACGGACCCTCCCAAAAGTGGGCCTCTCGGCCCTCCTTAATCTCTTAAACAATCTCTGGGCCTCAGGGTCCTGCCCCCCAGACAGGACCTCCTCTACCGTTGTTCCGATCATTAAACCGGGTCGCCCAGCTACAATATACGCCTCTTATAAACCGATCTCTCTTACCTCTCACGTCGCAAAACTATTTGAACGGCTAATCCTCTATCGAATCCATAAATGGACCTTTCATTCTGATATCCTCCACCAACACCACTTTGGCTTTCTCCCTACCGAGGGGTAGGTGAGGCCCTTATTACATTACACCACCATATAGCCTAGAAGGCAAGAAAGCACTCGACCTAGAAGAGGCATATGACTCAGTTTGCCAAGAAAAACTCCTAGCTAAATTAGAATTTTTCGGTATGGGAGGGAGACTTTTTTCCTGGCTTAAATCATTCCTATTACATTGTTCTTTATGCGTCCGTTTGCGCGGAGTGCTGTCACCTCCTCACGCCTTTATCCAAGGCGTCCCCAGGGAGCGTTCTTGCCCCATTTTATTTATATTATACATGGCGGACCTTTGGACCGCTCTTCCCCCCAATGTCACCGCTGTCCTTTATGCGGACGATCTAAACATACTCACTTCGAGTACAAGGCCTTCTCAAGCAGCTCGCAAAGCTCAATTAGACTGGACCACCTTAAACACTGGGCAACCACATGGAGTTTATCCTTTTCCGCCACTAAAAGCGCTTCCGTCGATTTTTCTGCCAAACTCCACCGCCCTCCACTTACTTTGTCTTTTAACTCAGGTAATATCCCTCAGCGCCCTTCTCTCCACATCCTCGGTCTTCATTTTTCGCATAACTTCACTTGGCACGCCCACGAGACTTTCTTAAGAACCAAAGTGACTTGTGCCGGTTTCCTCCTCAAATTTTTTGCTTCTTTTAGTAACGGTGCCAGGAGAGCCGACCTCCTCCGCTTAATCTACACCGTCCTTAGCCTGATGGCGGAATTTGGCGCTCCTCTCCTGGAAGGTGCCCCCAACCACTATCCGTCGTATCGAAAAACCCAATCACGAAGCCCTTCGAACAGCCTTGGGTGTGCTTAAGTCTACTCCGCTCTTATCTTTATATGCTGAGTCAGGCTATATTCCACTCCAGTCTAGGCTGCGTCAGAAAGCTATATCGCACGCCATCACTCACCTCTCAAGAGGCCACTATAGCCCTCTCTACAAAATTTTCAGCACAGCTTCCAGTCTAGACTACTACCATTGGCGCCCTTTCCAGGTCCCGTATGCCTCTAGGGTTCTCTCACTGATTCGTCTGGAAGGTCTACCCATCTCTCACCTATACTGGCAAAAACACGTACCCCCGAGCCCCGTGAACATCCAACCTCCTCACGCCTTTATCTAAGGCGTGAGGAGATTGGATTCGTCTTGACGACTTTCCAAATGCTTCCAGCCAACCTCTGGCAGCCTTGAATGCCCTTTTTAATCATTTACATTCTACCAACTGGCGGAGTTGGACTCTCATTGGGGCAGATGCCTCAAAATCACACCTACGGACGGCCTTTGGAGTGGTTCTTCCGGCTCACACGGTCAAGGAAACTTGGTCGCTACGCACGAGCTGCAGCGTCTTCGGTGCGGAGGCTCTCGGCATCCAACGGGCAGTTAATCTCAGGCCCGTCTTAACACTCCGACGGCCATTGTCTCGGATGGCAAATTAGTTCTCCAGGCA